AGGGTCAGAGAGAGGGAGACACAGAATCCGAAACAGGCTCCAGGCTCTGAGCTGTTAGCACAGAGCCCGACGCGGGGCTCGAACTCACAGACCGCGAGATCATGATCTGAGCTGAAGTCGGCCGCTTAACCAACTGAGCCAACCAGGCGCCCCTAATGTTTATTTTTTTTGAGAGAGAGAAAGAGAGAGAGAGAGAAAGGGAGAGAGACAGTGTGAGCGGGGAAGTTCAGAGAGAGAGAGACGGAGACACAGAATCTGAAGCAGGCTCCAGAGCTCGAGGCGGGGCTTGAACTCACCAACTGTGATATGATGATCTGAGCTGAAGTCTGGAAGCTTAAGCCACTGAGCCACCCAGGTGCCCCAGGGCATTTTTCCTTATCTATTTGAATGTTCAAAGAAAATAAAACTTGTCCTTCTTCTCCTCCTCCTTCTTTTTAGAAGTAGCTTTTGAAAATATAACTAACGAGAAATAGTTATGTGATGTTCTCTAGTGGAACTTTGCAAACAAGTAAGTTGTATATTTAAGTGCATAACATCTTTACCAGTGATGTGGTTGTCTGCCAGGGTGTTGCAGCTACTCTACTGGGGATGAACAAGGACAGTAATCTGATGTTAACTCAAAAGAAGAGTTTGGAGGGGATCTTTTCAAAAGGATTTGTAAGGTCTTCCTCTAGCCATATTATTTAAATGTTTCTCATGGGACATTGAGGATGACTGGAACCAGGATAGGAGTGACAGGAGAAGGTTAAGAGGAGAATCTGGCCACCATTATATCTATCTTCTTTTGACTAAAGTTCACTCTGGAAAAATGGGAATTGGCAGAGAGGTAATCTAAGATAAAGTCCAAAGCACCAAGAAAAATTCTCTAGAAAAGTTTTCCCTACCAAGGAAAACTGTTAGGGAAAACTGTCCTTCAAACAGGGGCCAAGTGGACCATATCAATGAATAAGACACCAAGGAATTTGCAATATTTTCTTATTTGCTGTTTCTCCCTCTGAAATTGTGTGGAAAAGCTTTAGGATTTTCCTCTGTCTCCAAATCTTACAACTCTCCTCAGGGATAAATGATCCTAATCCCACAATTACCAATGTATTTTAAAAAAGAAGGAAACCTCCTCCAGAACCACTAAATGAATGGGTTTTATCATCGTACCTCAGGTTAGACCAACCGAGGACAAAGAGGTAAGGGCTGGGTTGGCTTTGCCTCCTTGGTCATGCCAACACGAGGTTGGAGTTGACTATATGCAAACTTTCAGTAAGAAATCTTTATTTGTAATTAATTATGAAATAACAGCTGCTTCTTGATTTTATAATAAACTTTTTTTTTTTGTATTCTTATATCTGTTCAAGTTGAAAAATCAACTCATGTCGGTCTATTAGAGAAAGGAAGACATTACTAGCTTTAAAATTAGCTTTCTGCAAGTCAGGCTCGCTGATATGCTTTACAGATGGGATGTATTTTCACCCCATCAGGAAATACTTCAAAGCAAACCAAAGCAGCGTTGATGGGTTCTTGTAAGCTTTTATATCATCCTTTATAGAACACCAGTGATGGGCCAGATTTTCAAGGATTTATTTCAATATCATGCATTTCTGGATTCTTTTAACCTCTAATTATTTTTGTTCACATAAAGGAATTCCAGTGATTCAGATATTTAAAATACCCTTTGGCTAATGAACTAAATTCCTTCAGTCTTGTATATAAATACAATCAGTCAGTGATGTCAGACCATCACTCTGGATATGAATATATAACTTTCCATGGTTGGCTAACCTGCACCCACACTAGAGGCCTATAAGACCAAGGAGAGAATTACTGACTTGGGAATAACAGGCTCTTTCATATCCAAAATGACACTGCTGACCCAACCTCAATAAGACCTGGGGTTTGACAATTTTTCCAGACATGATGATAGATTTGTGCTGCTCTATTTATACTCCATTGCCTGTCCCCACTGTGATTAATATCATGCAATAATAAGATGGTGGGCTATGGATAAGAATGGTATCTCTGACCTTGACTCACCTAATACTGGATTCTGTTGTGCTGTGACTAGTGAGGTTCCTGTTCTTTCAACACAGTTTATTATTAAAGTATTAGATTGAACCACATGAAAGTGATGTTTTTGCAGGTCAGAGTAAGGAAATCAGATATCAGTTGTTTTTTTTTTCATATGATTCAAAACAATACCAAAAGAACTTCTTTAAAGGTTGTTTTATCATTTTCTTATACTATAGACATTATGACATCTGTCTAAAATGATTCTTAACACTTTGTTGTTGTTGCTCTTGTTTCCTGCTGGTTATTTATCTTTTTAACTCTCCCTGTTGTAGAAGTGGTTTTTATGCTTCTTCCCTTTGGTTCTTGATTGCCTTGCATTATTCAGCAAGAAAGACCAAATATGCCTCTTTTACACCCACAACACATTAAGCATAACACAGTTTCTAACCCTAAATCTTTCTTTAATAAATATCTAAGAAAAGAAATGTGATATTGCTGAGCTGAGTGATCTCATGACAGCAAGCAAAACTGTGTCAGCCAGATGACTGCTGGCTTTCTTCTGAATGGTTTACACAATCCCTGGAATAGTAACAACATGTCCCCTGCAGTCAGTACGAGTCCTTTCTCAGTGGATGTATTTACAGTGAGTCATATAAATCTTCAATCCCTCACACATATCTCTGTGCAAGGAATTTTCCAGGAACTTCCAGGAAGTTACAAAAATGTGAACAAATTCCAAAATGTCAACTTAAAAAAAAATAGACGTACTCAGTTCTAGGTCATTCCTGGCAGGAAATATCAAAAGAAAATACCTTTTGATTCTTGTTTGTTTTTAGTAAAGATGGTGGATTCCTTCAATATTTTGGAAAAAAAAACCCCAAGCCACTTAGTTAACTCTCAAAGTCCTCAAATAATTCAAGGCAATAAGAAATAACATGTGTTTTTGACAACTGGATGCTTGAAGTAACTGCAAGACTGCCTTACATTTTCACAAGATTAAAACTCACTATATCCACAGCTTCAATGCTTTAACCTAAACTTGAAAAACAAAACTATTCTGGCAGGTGGAAATGTGTCTAACTTTATATTTGCTACAGGTTTCCTTTTTTAAGCTGGGAAATTCATGTAACCTCATTTCTATTAAGTTCTCCAACCTGTGCATTAAATACATAGAATATTAGTGAAATGGGAAATCATAAAAAGTTTGTGTTAATTGAGTTTTATTGACTTTACCTATTCTCAAGTCCTGCTATACTTAATTATCCAAAACTTATATTGAATATGAGCAATACCACTTTTATTGTCACTCTTTAAAAAAGTTTTAAGACTCCTAATCAATAAATTATTGTAAACACTTCTGAAAATGTCAGATTCTACAGACACACAGACAATATTTGTCATTACCAAGTCCTTGTGAGCATTAGAATACATTCCTTTCCCTTTGTTAGCATGAGAATACATTCTTTCCTCTGATTTGGAGTGGGAGAAGGGATAGAAAGTAGAATATGGAAAATGGGACCTTCCTAGTATCATCCCCTGAGGGGGATGACAGTGGGTGGGTGAATATGAATTGGATTCATTATTCTTCAGCTGTGTTTCTTTCTGAAAGATGTGCTGCCTAGCTTTTTCTACGTGGGCATCGCCTGTGAAAAGCTGTCATGCCCAACAAGTAGTCCAGGACCTTCATCTTAATCTGAAAGGAATAGCATGGCTGTTAAGTGAGAAGAACCGCAGGAAAAATCTAATTAGCCTGATAGTGCCTTCAAAATATCCAAACCTGTTCAACCCACTGCCAGAAGGATGAGCTTGCCCTGGGCACTCTTCCATTTTAGCACTTGTGCCTCAAACCTATCATCTTTTTCGGTACCAGAGCACAAAATTTAAGAAGCACCAGAAAATTTAGTAGTCAAAATAAGTAATATTTTAAGAAATCAAAATTAACACAAAAAGTTCATAATGAACAAAATATCAAAATTGTAAGTGGAAACATGATCAATATTACTTCATATTCCTTTTGCCTCTGCTCCAATATGACTTAGGAAGACATACTAATCCTTTCTTTACTTAAAATTTTGCTGAGCTTTTTTGGCACCTCCTTAAATTGTGCACCCAAGGGATGCCTCAGTTCCTGACATCTTTTGCTTTGTTCTCTGTTTTCTGACTAGCTCACACTCTTACTGGTTCCTGACATACATCATCTCCTGACTATGATTTCACTTTTTCCTTTCTATAATTTCCAAGAAGCCAGGGACTGTGTCTGTTTGGGTCATAGCTGAATCTCACACAAAGCTGAATTTTTAGTACAGTGACTGGCACACGGTAATTGCTTCGTAAGTGCTATTGAATGAATGGGAGAAAAATGTCCTGGGGCTCAATGCTGTACATGGCTTCCTTGCATTATTATGTGGATGAAAAAAATGTCTCTGGCTGCACCTCTACCCGAGAGCCTGTTTTGGGAAACACAGACCCCTTCCAGAATTTTCCTAAACACTAGGGACAGGGAATCAGGAACAATGTATTTCAGGTTTGAAAAAGTCAGAGTCGGTGAGCTTAAGTGTACCTAAGTAGATTCAAATAGGAGTCAAAAAGATGATTGACCTTATTGGGGGGAAAAAAAGCAATTAAAATAACCTAAGGGTGTTTTCTTTTTTTTTTAAAAATTTTTTTTTTCAATGTTTATTTATTTTTGGGACAGAGAGAGACAGGGCATGAACGGGGGAGGGACAGAGAGAGAGGGAGACACAGAATCGGAAACAGGCTCCAGGCTCTGAGCCATCAGCCCAGAGCCCGACGCGGGGCTCGAACTCACGGACCGCGAGATCGTGACCTGGCTGAAGTCGGGTGCTTAACCGACTGCGCCACCCAGGCGCCCCAAGTGTTTTCAAATGATCTATTTTACAAAAAATCCAGGGTATGGCAATTTTTATGATTTGAGCCTTTTTGTTTCTTCCCCAGTGATATTTGAAATTTCTCAAGTTTAGGGTGTTCAAAGAACTTACCTTCAATGGTACACTGATCAGGGATTGGAATCTTCTTTCCGATTTCCACAGCGTATGCCTTTACTTTATTGAAATTTTCCTTTAAGTGCAAGTAGAGCTTATCTTGGTATTCTACAGGACTTGCAGTTGTTTCTGGAGTTTCCTCCTGGCAGTTTTCTTTAACTGTTTCTGGCAAATTCTCTGATTCTGTATGTATAATACTTGGGTGTGAAACTGAAGAATTTCTCAGCTGTGATCTGTCAGAGTTTGCCTTAAAGGGCAACTTGTCGTTTCCTTGGCTAAGTGGATCTGTTTCTGAAAGAATGATCCTAGCTGGCATATCTCCACTCTCTACAATTTCCCCATCATCTGAACTCATGCTCTTTGTTAGCACAGTGTGCAAAGCCAAACTCTTTGACCTGCAATATAAACAAAAAGCGAAGACAGGCAAAGAAGTTGAGCTAGCATCCACTGAGAAGCAAAAGAAAGGATAATAACAGTGGGGAAGAGTTACTTCCTCTAGAATGGGAGACCATAAATTGGTGCTACAAACAGATTTGATAAAACACATAGACCAGCAACAAATTATGTAATAAGCCAAATCTTTGAAGATCTAGGCCACCTCCAAAAACAAAGATTTAAAAATCAATTTCATGGCAAAACTAACTGGAAAATGGTGGACTTATACACTTGCATTCTTTTTTTCTACTTCGGAGTCTGCTTTTTCATCAGAAAACAAGAGAAGCTTCTGATAGTCATTCTTAATATAACATACTTATGTTTAAAAAGTATTTTTAAAAAATAAGCCACAGGTTTGTTTTCCATTTGTTTTCTCCTTTTTTTTTTTTT